TACAAATGTATGTCACGCTTTCACTACAAGGAAAAACACCACCTCTTTTTGAGCAAACTAGTAAAATGGAAAATTAAGGTGTCAAACTGCAAATGAATGAGTTTGAAAACCATGTCAAATATGTACATGTTTCCACAAACTGCAGAAAACCCCCAGAATCACCAGATTTGCACATCTGCATTCTTCCAAAATCCCCACTGCCCTTTGCTACATGCTTTTTCACTTCATGCAGTTTCCCTTAATCTCCACTTATCCTTACCAGCTGCACTCCTCTACCCACAGCTTCAGACCTTAAACTGAAATAGGAACAAAAAAATATTTTTGATACTCTTCCAGATATCAGGAAGGTGGAAACAGGAAAGATGGTAGAATAATTTAAAAACAAAACAAACAAAACCACCTATCACTTGTGGTCAAATTTCCTCTGCCTGGATGGCTAACTAAATTGTGTGTGCATTTCTACAAACTCAAAAACACAATCTTGAGGTTGGAAAACCAGTTCCATTGTTGTTTGAGGTGGGAGGCTTTGCACTTTAGTCTTTCCCAGGCAATTCACTTATTACACCGGAGCTAGAATAAATTTGCACTGGACAGTAAATATCACCAGTAAGAAGTGTGTACGCAAAGCATGTTCAAACTTTTAAAAAAAAAAATCAAGATTTGCTTTAACAGTGTAAGCCAAGCATAAAAGAAAAAAAAAAAAAGATGATATCTATCAGTCAGATTCACATACTCAAAAAATTAAAAAGAGAAGCATGAAATATGCACCATTTAAAAATAACATTAACTATTAATAGTTAATAGGCCACTTGCTTCAAGAACCAATGAATAGACTGGAACAAATCCACAGAGCTAATTAAGCAAAACCACCAAGGCACAAGGTACTTCCGGAGGACTGGTGGGACAGGGAAGAAGAGGAAGAAGCTGGATAGCTGGATGCCAGATCACAGAACCCTAGTAGACATTAAATCCCAGTAAATTTCTCCTACCAAAACTGTTATTATTATTACAGGACATAAATGTAAAACTGACATATGCTTTTTGTTATGAGTGACATAAGTTAAATTAATACAGTGAAGGCATTTCTATAAAATAGATCCTTAGAATTTTTTATACGTCAGTCAATGTGAAATAACGAGCAAAACAAGACCTGTAAATTGCCGGGCCAGAAAAGAATAAGGATTGTAAGCGGGGCAAGGGAAAATGTTGTTTAAACTTGGTAATTGGTAATGTAACACTGATCTGTTAATCTAAACAGACACCTACAACTCATAGAAATTCACTAGTTTGGTTTTCAATCCAAATATTTGAGCATTCCTGTCTATATATTTTTCATTTTAGCTTGACTTAATATAAATAACAGCATCAAAACTTTCATTACAACATTTCATATGAAGCCCAGACCAGTGGATGCCAAGGTAGCTAAAAATCACACAGAATTAAAATAGCAATTTGCAAATTAGGAATGCAAGAATCTAGCTCACATGCATTCTATAGCCAAAGTAGAAAGCTTTCCTTAAACCCTTACGGCCTTTTTACTTTTATTTAAAACACAAAGGATTAGATTTCTAAAGCTTTCTGAATTTAATTGAGCAAGTACAACTTTTCAAGTAGTCCATCTGCCTGGAGCACAGCAGCTGTGATGGGAAGTGGAAAACACTACTGCAATACTTGGATAAATTTTCAAACATAACTGTAAAAAAGCCTCCAGTAATTAGTGGACAATATGAGAATTCAGAACTTACTTGGCACTGGAACTTTATTTGCAGAATGTTTGACTTTTTTATTGTGTATATTTGTTTTCAGTGAACAAGCAATACAGTGATTTAAGCAACTTCATGCTAGCATATCACGAAAGTAAAATTCAGTATTAATGTACATATTAGTTTCCTCGATATCTTACACAACATTTCTCACTGCAGTGAAATAATCTGGCATTCATTTTCTTCTAAAACTTAATAATAGAATAATATCACATCATAGTTTTGCTTAAATTATATTGCATTGCCCAAATGTTACATGAGGCTACATAACAGTCTGGTATATTCTGTAACAAGATCTTTCCCACTGCACTCATCAATTCTTGTAAATTGAATATGGTAGAGTTTGTGCAATGCTTAAATAAAAGCTACATTAAGATAATGGAAGTAGCAAGGCTAATGAAACCAGCAGTGAATTAACAGGGAACAGGATTAATAGTAAATTAACACTGTGCTGGGAATTCAGCTCCAGTCTTAAAAATCACTGTAATCCTAAAAGCAAACTATGTTCAATTATTAGAAATCCCACAGAATATTTCCCATATTTTGCACAAATTTCTCCTCTTATCCCTATTCTATTCTAGCAGCTGGTTTCAGATTTAGTGTAACTTATTAAAAATACAGAAAAGATATTTTATATACAGGTACATATAAGTGAGTTTTGAAGTTCAAGACTTAAAATCTGCTACTAGTCCAGCACTATTCATCATATACACTGAATTTTGGCTCAAACTACTCTGGAATGATTTGTGTAGGAGAATTCACATTTGAGAGGAAGTCTATGACACTGCTTATTTGGGTAAGAAACAGCAAAACCATGCTTGACACTGTAGAAACCTGGAGTGAGAAGTCCTGCCTAAAATGCATAGAAGTTAAACGTACATAATTTCAACAAGCTATATATGGCATAAACTCACCTATATGTCCTATCTCAGGAAGACATAACAAATCTAAATTTGTAACAGAAAGGTTGCCAATAAAATTCTATCCAAGGAACTTAAATTTTGACATAAAAACGTTCAAGCAAAAAGATCAGTCTTGGCCTATGTGATCACTAGTCATATGTGAAGCCTTCTACTCGTATGCCTGAAGCGCAAGACTTAGTTTTCACTTTTACTGTGTTTATATTTTCTTACTGCAGCTCTAGTACATGACATGATCATTAGCAATGCATTGTTATGTTTTTCCCATACCCTCTTGTGCCACCGGTCAACACATCATATTACGTAGGTTTGTATTCCAGGAGAGAGGAAACAATTCACTGCTCAAGCCTTCAATCTTAACTATCCATGTGTATGCTTGAGCACAAAGTTACGAACAAGCCATCCTGATACCAAATGCAGGGGACGCATCCATAATCTGCATTTGGAGCGACAATTCATTAGCTCTTCAAATTTCACTAATAATACTGTTTTTATAGGATAAATACAGAGAACTTAAAAATGGTCAATGCTCATTACACCTTAACCTATGAAAAAAATGTCTCTGTGGCAAACATTCTCATAATTGAAGCAGCAGCCCTGACAAATGGGTTGAAGCTTTACTTTTGGAGGTACAAAAAAGATCAGTGCTAATGTTACACTTGAAAGACTAAAATACTTGCAAGTAAAATTTTGATACCAGCTGGCTCCATAGTAAAATATGTTCTCTTTCCTCCAGTCTTCCTAATGTAATACACTGTCATTACGACTATATTATTGTCCTGGTTTTTAGACCACTTTTAGTGGTCACTCAAAGTGTTTAATGTTGTTTTTTCATTATGAGCTCTGGATAAACATGACAAACCCCAGCTTTACAGGCCAGTCTCCTGAATGCAAATTGAGCTGAACACTTTACATGTATGTGCAGCCGGTTTCAGTCTTGATCCCCAAATAATTGATACTGCATGGGAAAGATATCATCTCCCCAGAAAAGGTTCCATTTACATTAATCGCATTTTAAAATAAATTTATTTTTCCTTGACCAAGATTTGTACTCAAGACTGAACAGTTTGAAATGAGCAACTCAAAATTTTAAAAATTCTGAGTTTTGTTCAAACATCACCTTGTCTCCAAATTAAGAACTCACATTTGTATTGTTCAGTTTTTTGATATATCATCCATAACAAGATTTAATAGCCATTTTCAAATTTGAAGATGTAAGTTTTAAGATCTATATTTGGGACTAGATTCAGGCCTGCACATAAGTACTAATCACAAAGAGAAAACTACTACTCTGAATATTTTATATCCATTTTGGGGGTTTGTATTTCATATGAAGAAAACTATAGGCACTTCAAAATTATAAAACATTTTTCAGTTTCAATACAAGTATCTCACTGCCAAAGTTACAAAACCACTGGAGATGAAAAGTTGTCAGGAGACAGCAGAAGAAAATTGTAGTGTTTGGCAGTTTGTTCATCTACAACTGTTGTCTTTTTACTTTCAGGAAACATTTCCTGTTACTCTGCATTTGCTGGTTATTCAGTCTGGACCATTCTTTTGATGCCAAAGTATTTACAGAACTTCCCCAAATGAAACAGTCCCTTGGATATGAGTGGCCTTGTATTTGCATGAACTGAAGTAACAACTACACATCAGTAATTTCTCTCACTGAAATCCATTGGATGCTGTACTTTAGCCTGGTCAGAAGTGGTTACATTTTGCTTAACTGTCTGGGAAGATTAGTTTCATTTGCAACACTAAAAAGATGGCTGAAGAAGAAAAACTCTCTCTAAAGAAAGCAATTCAGTTTGGTATTAATGGATACATTCCATCAGTAAAGCTATGCATCAGAAATGAAAATGCCCCCAAAAGTTATGGTTGTTGTTTAGACAACATACAAATAAAACATATGTGACTGGTCCATCATAAAAAAGCTGGATCACTAATGGAGAGCTGACTGTCAAATAAGAGCCATCAAGAAAGCCACAGACTCAACCTTACCTTTAAATTAGTTCACTGTAAGCATATGGGGCTGTTGCAATTTTGTAATACAAAGATCACGTTAGCTTCAGAACACAAAGATTTCTGCATCCCCTAGCTACAAGAAATATTTCCTTAAATTTGGTATTTAATTTCTTTGTTTTAGTGTTTAGTCTAGTCAGCAATTAAATTTCAAAGAGCATCCCTGAAGAGAGCACATCAGTTAAAAGTATACATAACAACAACAAGAAGAATGAAAAGCTTAGCTTCTTCAACAGTTAGGTATTCATTTGCATCTTAGGAACAATCTTAACATACAGTTCAAATGACAAATGAAATGGGTCGCAAAGAAACACGTTACTTACAGACTTTAAATTGCGATTCAACAGCCCAGCAAAACATGAAAATGCGCCCAGTGCTATTGAAGAGGAACAGTCTGGATTCAGCTGATTTTATGAGACAGCCATACCACCGCAGGACCAAATCTCAGCAAGTTCGATTCAAGGACGATGGTGTGAACACAAAAACAGAGCTGGATACTAATCCTGCCCAAGATGGAGCATTCACGACTGGAAAAACAGAAATACTTAGGGATCACAATTTTTTGCTACATCAATCTCCATCTTTTCCAAGGGCTCAGAAGGGGCTTCGGAATATTGCCATACAAACATCTCCTAGCCTCAGGAAGCACTTCCCAGTTTTTAAAAAAAAAAAGCTGACAGTAAGCAAATCATTAACAGAAATGCCAACTGAGCCTGCAAACCCTATCCAAGTAAACGGCAATCTTTCTGAACAAGACATTACATCTGCAGATCTCTGTTACTTACGAATAACTAATCATTTGGAAGATGGATTTAGGAATAGTGAGGTGGATGGTCACTTAAGTCACAGACCATCAAAAGCACAAAGCAATGGACCTATCCACTCAGATGATTTCTCAGTATCGGAGAAGACAACTGTTTCTACACAGGTGCCTGAATACATACATGTGAGTTTTCCACAAGACAGCAACGTTTCCATGGATGCAGACACAACCATGAATTTAAGTAATTCACTGCATTCTTCTACTGTCATAAATAGCAATGAAAATAATGAAAACAGCACACTGTCATCTAATTCTGAAAAAGCATACCCTTGCCTAAGCAATTCTACTAACTGCAGTGAATGTAATCCTCATTCTGACTCTTGTGAAGCAGATTCTGAGTTACTTGTAGCCAGCAAAGATGCAAGCAGTAAAGAAACTACTCCATTATCACCTCCGTCAAATCACAGTTCATCTCCTTGTTTCCTCAGAGACTATCAACAGGCAGGAGAGCACAAAACAGATTCCAGCTGTGTGACATTAACAAATGATGACCACACAATAATGTCATTGACCAGCAGTAACGCGTCAAAATCTATTCTGTCATGTAATGCTGAAATCGAGAAAAATTCTACCCAGTCAGATGTTTCCCAATGCAACAGCTGTTTAGAAGGATTTCACATAAAGTCTTATCTGCCAAGGAATGAAATAAAACCACAAACCAACAAAGAGATTAGTGAAATAAATCAAATTCATTTGGCACATGGCGAACTCTGTGCCCTCCAAGGCAGGCTGCAATCTGTAGAGGAATCCTTGCAGTCGAACCAGGAGAAGATTAAAGTCCTTTTGAATGTAATCCAAGACCTGGAAAAATCCAGAGCCCTCAGTGAAGGGTATGGTGCATTTTAATATCAGTAATTCATCAGAAGTGCAAAGTAGATGTTAGCATTCTTTTAACCTCTGCTACTGAAAAAAAAAATCTTTCCTGCAATATTTAAAGATGAGTTTGCAAAACTGGTATCTTATGCCCTTTTTCTGGTATTTGTGCCTCAGCAGAGAAGCAAGTCTCTTCATAGTTTGCCTTTAGCTGTGACACTGCCTTTGCTAAACCCAGTGAGAGACAGAATTTAACAACTCCCTTTTTTATTTAGATTTATGGTGTCAGATACATAGCCTCTGACACTTGAGAGTTGGCAGCCTCCATCTAGCAAAAATCTGTATGCAGTAGAACAACAAAACCCAACAGTCCAATGTACTAATATAGTCTAATAGAAGCCTATGGCAAGCCAACTATCTCTTACTAGCAAGGTCAGCTACGCATTTAGTGCCAAAGCAGTCCTATTGCTGAAACAGTTTATATCAGCAAAAACATGCTTCTGTTTAATAAATTATTACTGCCTTCGTAAGCAAGCAAAAGTATTAGTGGCTAAAGCACTGCATCTGCAGACATGTGGAGACCACACTGCTACTTATGTTTCATGGTACCACAAACACCACAGCTGCTTAAAGGGAATGCCTTAAGAATAGGAACAAGCACAACGCCAGGTAAACTTCAAGAGCTTCAATATATCAGGAAGATTTTACAGGAGGTGGAGGTAGGTGCTTAAAAGGGATTAAAACTATGAACATACAGCACATGAAGATTGTTAGCAAGAACTCACTTTGGAATCCCAGCTTTAGTATGACTGCTTTCTGCACTATCATAAGAATGCAAGACCTGTATTTATTTTTAATATGCTCTCATAGTGACTATTAGCCAAGGCTGCAAGCATTTCTTACATAATATAATTTACGCATTATAAATAATAATAATACAATAAATGCAACTAATGTCTAAAGACTGGACAGCTTTGTAGGACAAAGTTAAAAAAGAATTTTAAATATCTCTATGCTCAAAACAGGTTTTAGAATAGCCTAATAATGCTTTCCAACCATTAACAGTAGCTCCTACTTACAGTAAATACATCTAGGATACATTTTAAAGTTCTGTTTTATGATAGTGTAGTATATCCATCAAATAATTTTTCTCTCTGAAAAACCCACAAATAAATCTTTCAAAGTATCAAGAGAATAAAGGTTCCATTTTACTTTATTTTTTAAAGATACCGCAACACGAAGTCCTATGTTATCATGCGTTTACTTTTATACTTAGCATAGGTAGCTTAGGCATCTAGAATAATCATTTTTGCACAACTGGTTTGTGCATAAAACTGCATCCTTCATTTTAAAATCAAATCATATGTATTAATAGTATTCACTGACTACAATTAAGGAACAGGTCTGATAATCTTCCACATTTCCACAACCTCTGCAAACATCACAAAAAGAAGGCTGCATTGTGATTTTTGTGCAGGCTCAATTGCACAGAAATAGCACAGAACACGGCACCGACTCGCTCTAGTGACTCAGTACCAGGCGGGTCTTTGCACTTGTTCCCATGTAGCAGAAAAGGTTTGCATGGCTGTGCAAAAACTGTCAGGATATAACTAACCAAAGCCACAATTTTATACATCCCGATTTCCTTACAACTTCTGAAGAAAAATAAACCTATTTTGAAGAATTCATCCTTTCTTAAAGTATTTTTTCAGGGAATTGAAATTACATTCTTGTGTTTCTGATTAATAAGTCTCCAATTCACAATCCAAATAAGAAATTACACTCATTAAAAAAATTAAAATAATACCAATTAAGTTAACAAGTAATTTTACTCTGTACAGATTACCTTTCTTATCTGGAAACGTTAACCAGTAATGTCCATCTGGCTGTTAGCATGAAAATACTTCTGTTAGTTTCCACTGTGCCTGCATAAATTTTTATTTCATGTGACATTTTCCCCACGCTATTCAGCTCCAACTATCCTCTCTCAGATAGACGTTCTTGGTCATTTTTCTCTATCCAAAAGGCCCATATGATTTTCTAGCATCAACTTTGTATAGCCTAGACACAACAGAAACCAATAACAAAACTGTAAAAAAAATTTACAAAACACCAAACCCCAAAAGTTGGGTTTAGAAGTAAGATCTGAAGGGAAGGGGTGGAGGAGAAAGGAGAGCAGAGATAAAAAAAAAAATCTAAGTATATGTCAAGCATAGCAATCACGTGTCTTTGGTATGTTTAGTACAGCTACCACCCAACTATGCCAACTATGGTTCCTCAGGAAATTGCAGAAAAAAAAAAAAATACCCACTCCTTTTCCCTGCATGTAGTTACGTATGACAGAGTGGACAAGTTTCATTTATGTTTGCAAATCTGACCATTACAAGGAGTAACTTGCAGTGAAAGCACAGTCAGACTCTTCAGCAATATTTATAGTCCATTTCTGCTCAGTTACAACATGGTCGAAACAAAAAATTTTGCCAGATACCTTTAAGTTTCACACTGAGATTCAATGATAAACTTCAATCTGTCTTGCTAGAATCATCTAGCAGTAAAACTGAACATTCCAAGTACTTGTGGAGATAACACAACAATCCATGTGAAGAGCCTCCACTTTAATTCCAAAAGCAATCAGAAAAATACTTTGGTATTAATTGAACTCCCCTAATTCAAATAAAACTCGTTAAATATAAGTGTTATGCATGCTTCAGATGTAACAACCCACTGACCTCAAACTGTTTCTAATGCAGATCTCTCCATCATAAAAATAATTCTAGTTGGTGTTAAGTATGAAAGCCACTTTTCTTGTTTTCTCAACACTCAAAATTTGTATAATATCAGCAGTAAAAATCTGACTTGTTTATACTCAAGTGAGGAAACATGAAAAGGGGGAAGAATGAAAAACATAAGGGTAGAGATCAGATTGATTTACCAAAAGCATGGATATTCAAATACTTTAAAATGTGTTTACAAGAAGCAGTTGCATGTCTACATGTTTTCATATATGTTTTCATGCAAGAACCAACAATCAGAATCTTAACAGCAGGAGGTAGGAAAGATGCAAGACAAAAACATACATCAACATAGGGTTTGGGTTTTTTAAAGCAACATTCTGATTTAGAATTTGACACTAGAATTTTTAGTAAGGATAACAGACATGGTGAACAGAATTATTCTATTCATAAAAAATTCAGTGTTCTGTTAATATATCTATAAATACATATTACATGAATTACTGTCTATTACAGGCGCAACTTCTATCACACCGGTCAAGATCTCAACAACTGCAGCACCTGTCAGAACACTGCATGTATCATTTACAGGTACTTCACTCCTTCACACAATTTTGTATTGTTTGTATCTCTCGCACAAATGTACAATACCATGTTTTGCTCACAGCTATTGAAAGGTCTCAATTACTATTAATCCAGTTTTTAACAAAAGACTGTGAGGTCGTTTGTTTGTTTCCCCAAGTAGAAAACAATCAATATTAGTGTTATCTGAAAGAGGTACTGTACTTCTGAGAATTCAAATAGAAATTTCCCAGTAACATTTCAGAACATTATTATTGCTAGCATACTTTGAAAATGTTTGATGCTGTTTCTGATGATGAAATCCCCTTTGTGTTTTACATTTTTAAAGCTGAGATTTCTGTAATAAATTTAGATCTTGGAAAAGATAAGCACTCAATTCTCCAAATGCCAGTAAGCTATAGCTACAGCTCATATTTATATACACAACAAAAACACCCCCCCCACATTTCTCAGTTCAGTAAATGTTTATTTGTTATTATTTTGAGTGAGTGCAATTGGAGCATAAATAACTGTAAATTTAAACTGCAGTTTATGTTCAGGTCTTACGACCAAAAAAATTTGTAGTACTGTGTTCCTGAAGCAGTACAAGTTTCAAATGCTACGTCTATACAAACACCCAGTAAGATTCTTTGGCTTGCCAGCCATCAACCAAAAAGCTAGCAGGTACAAATTCTTGGACACGTAGCTTGTCTGCTCAGCAAGGGATTTTCTAGGGCTTCCACCAATTTATGAACACGTTATCCAATCTCTGCAACCTCAGTTGTGAAGCAGAAAACAACACATCTTCAGTTATTGGAGTCTGTAAGATTCATTGGGCTCTTCACAGAATATTAGTAACATATTACAGAAATGCAGCATAATCGGAGCTGGTGCTTACACTTCACCATTTTAGATCCTTTCCAGTGCTGCCATACACCGCAGACTTAAGAGAATGAAGAGGAGGATGAGTGCATGGTCAAAATTTACTTATGATATCTCAGGCCTCATTTGGAGAAGTAGAGAATACGTATTCAAACCAAAGGTAGTGCAGAAATTATAACAGTGCTATTTTAATCCTGTCTTTTTGCATTCCTTTTTTGTGGCGGACTCTACTTAAAAGACTTTGCAGCTGATCAGCTAATTACTTAAATTGCATACTTGTTTTCCTTGCTATACATATCACATGTCTGATGTGCTGTACTGTTTTATTTTTTTTAAAAAAAACTTCAGTGGAAAATGAGCTTGCCAGTCGATTGTAAAGATCAGGTATTGAAGTTAAACATTATGCTGCAAAATTAGGAACTTGATTTGAAACACCTCCTAGAAATTTTTTACCCCTTCAAAAAATTCCTACATATTAGTATTCCAGAGGTTTTAGATATTTAAACATTTAAATATCTACATATTTAGATATATTTACATAAATATATAACTTGAAATATAAGTATACATTTATATAAATATTTAAAATATTTAGATATTTACCTTTTAAAAAAATAAAGTGCAAGAGAATTTCTCTTTTAGGTAGAAAACTTTTCCTTTATTTCAAAGAATATGGCAGACCATTAGCTTTGCTGGTTTGTAAGCACTATGACTTCAAATATTTTTATGGATATAATGAATAGACTATATCCACACATAAGTGTTTTTCACACTGCATTTTCTACATGAGCCAAATTTAAGTGCTTAATAACTCATTAGGCAATGTCAGGGTTGCACACAACATTGGAACCTATTGTGCAACATACCACTCCGTCGAGTATTGATGTCCTAAACCTCTGCTAATGAAATCTCAAAGTAATTGAGATGTCACACATTAAACATCACAACTAGGCAAAGCTGATAGTCTTCACAGTACACTGTGGATACTGCAGGAAGTTGCATGACTTACTGAACAGCACAGAACCTGTATAAAAAGGAAGATCCAGGACAAAACAGATTTCCTTTCCCTTGGTCATTGTCTCTGAACAAACATTTTTAATGTATTTTTATGGGACTAAACAGGAAAAGAGGTTAGTTAGTTTATTCTTTTGAAGAGAAAAGGTATCCTGTGGTAAAGGGTAGTTTGTACATAAATTATGATGCTTACCCTCCATTTTTAGTTTACACAGTTTGAATACAGGAAAGATCCTGAGCAACATGCACAAGGATCTGTGGCGTGATCTGAAGGAAAGAACAGAGGAAGCAACAAGACACTGATGTGCCTTTTGGATCTACTGGGTATTTTATAATGATAATGGTGCCTGGAGGCTTACGGTGCAATGATTAGTAGAATACGTACAACAGAACACAGCTCCTCTAGAGAGTTTCTAGTTTTAAAGGACAAAACTAGTGACAGCAAGGAAACATAACAGTTTTCACTTTACAGACATGTTCCATAAGATGGGTCATGAAAGTAAAAGCATTCTGAGTAACTAATATTTGAAGTTCATAACATACTAATTAGACAACATTCTGAAAGAAGTAATTGTTATCAGTTTTTGCTCTGGACAAACCCATGCAATGCCTGCGTTTTATGTAGCCATAAAAAAATCCATGCAAGTATTTTTTCCACTAACGCAGCATCACTGTTGTCATTAATTATAGAATCAAGTGTTTCATCTTGCTCCCTATTTTCCTGCTCTTAAAGAGCTTAACTCATCAGTGATTCAAACACTACACAAGCTGAATGTTGGGTTACTGTCACTGAGCCATCTTTATCATGCACATTTTAAGCAGTTCCTGAGTCAAACAATATACTAATCTCATATCAATCCAAGTGTGGATTACACTGATTTGTAAAGTAATAAAGAGCTTTTTAGTCTAACAGTGACCAGTATATAGTGGCTGTAAATTTAACTTTACTAACTATCCAGCAGGGTTATGTGAGATGACATAGGATTTTCAATATATATCTTGTAAGACAAATGTTTGTATTACAATAAACAAATGAAAGTAACAACCGAAAACATTCAGTTATCTCTGCATATAAAGAACAGTATTAAATGAATACTGAATTGACCTCTTGCCTCTAGAGATGATCTCTCCAACACTAAATTAGAAACTTTGAAGAAGGGAAGAAAAAAGGAACAGGAGCAGATGCTATCCTTACACATGCTATAAATTGAACGTTTCATTCTCCAGCACTCGTGACTACTGAAAGTATTAAGTTGTGGTTTTAGCAATAAGCCAATAAAATTGAAGAGACACTGCTCAAATTTGTCATTTATATCATTCTCTTCTACTTCTTTTATATTTATTATGTATTGCTCCCTGTCTAGAGATCCTTCTCCAGTTCTTCTAAATTAGAACACTCCTCTTGATTTCTGTTTGCCAGCTAAGTTATTTTATTTCATTGAAAAACCCAAAACATAAAAGGGAAACAAGCCTCTAGGTAATTTTAACAAATTATTCACAATGTTTATGGATGTCTACATACAAATATTCACCATTAATAGTGTTTAAAGATAGGCATATTTACTAATTTTACAGATTTCTTCTAGTCAGTGCCCAAATCAAGTTCAGGGCCTTAATGTGATATCCCAACATCCCTCTGATGACGCCTTTTTTCCTCCTAAAGAGCTTGCATTACAGAAAATACAACCGTGTCCTTTCTGCTCTCCCCTCCACCTACTAAACCTCCACTGCAGACAAAGCTGATACAACTCCCACTCTCCTGCCCAGAAAAATGGTTGAAATAAAGAAAAACCATGCAGTGCTGCTTCTTTATAATTTGGTGTTTGCATTATTTTCTTTGTTCATTTTTGTTTAACTGTACTGGTTGCATCAGACTGCTTAATCACTGTCCACATGGATTCTTTTGAACCTTACATTTATTTGTGTGCACATATCTGCTTTTATCTGATTAACATCTTGGCTCTCATTTGACACCATTAACAATTATGGGTTTCAACGGAGAAAATTAGTTACATTCTACTTTCCTGCTAACAAATACCACTTATCTCAAAGACCTACATATTTGCTTAATTTCCTGTATTTTTGGTCCTAGCAGGTCTCTTAGCAGGACACATTCACATTTAACAAAGTTAAGCATGTGAGTTTTGAATTCATGCCAAGCATATGACTGAGTTAGATTACAGTATCAAAATCTGAGCACTGAATAAAATGCATTGAAAGGTCATCCTAGTACATTTTCATTTTTGGGCACAAAGCTGCAGTTGTTAACTCATATCAAGAAAAAGGTTTCCCTCAGAAAAGATTAAGAGATGAACTTATTTTCAAAGCAGCAAGCTATACAGCCTTGTGTTTTAACCAGGCTCTAATATTAAATGATGCCAAATTAGTCTAATGAGGTAAGCATCCTTTCCCCATGTTTTTTAGGGAGGGAATTTTCTCACTTACTAGCTTCAATCTCTTCATTTTTCCATAGTGTAGAATATGACTTCAGACAACAAGAAGGAAGATTTCATGAGATTTTGAAAACGCTGGATCATGCAGAGCAAGATCCAGCTTCACCTCAGAAGCTACCATCTGATCACCCAGCTCCTGAGAAGAAGGAGTTAAGAAGAAAAACAAAAAAGGTGAAAAGAAAATGCTTCTGGTGGATTTGACTTCCTTACGGATCCTTTTACATTTCAAAAGACCCCAGAACAGAAAGAGGTGTGACAGCACATACTTGAAAATGTGCTATTACAAAATCACAAGGCTAAAGAATGCTTAATTAGAGTGTCTGAAAAATCAAAAGAATTGAATTTACTTAAATCATCTCACTGAATAAATGCACATAAAGATGCTATTTTCAAAAAGAAACTGTTTCTTTTAAAAGAAAGATTTCTCATTTTTTCCAAGGACACTTTCATATGCTTTGTAAAGACTTCTTTTTTTCCCTAACTTTCCAAAAGTAACAAGGTTTAAATCTCAACTTTAAAAAACAATGGTAGACAAAGCTAAGGATGTCTCCCAGTCTTCATTTCCTATTTATAAGCAACATGGACTAAACCAAAAGAACTTCATTGATCTTTAAACAAACCACATAATCAAGAACAAATTCAGGGGAATCTACGTCGTTCAAACAAATCTCTCCTCAAAGAAGACAATTAAAATTATTTCACGTTCCCATTGAAATATTTTTGTTGCTGTCATCTAATATTTAACAAGAAAAGAATTTCAGGTTAAGTTTTACCCTGCCCTTTTATTGGTTCAATTTAAAAAGCAACCATTTAGAAGTTTCAGCCATTTAATAGACTTCTCTGAAAAAAAATCATAGAATGATAAAACAAGAGAATATCTTATTAATTCTAGTCTTAACCCCCTGCTCAAGCAAGGTCCAATTATAGGTGAATTTCAGTGCTGAGCATCTCCCAACACAAGAATCCATAACCCCATGGGGCAAGCTGCTCCAAATTTTTTCCTAACATCTAACCTGAATTACCTATGTTCTAACTTGTGTCCAGTACATCTTGTCCTGTCCAAATACACCTTCAAGAAGAATTAGACAGATAATAAAACCTCTCTCCTAAGCCTTCACTTCTTAAAGACTGAATAAATCCAATTTTCACTGCTTCTCTTCACATGTTATGTGCTACAACCCACAGTGATCTTGGTGGATCTCTCCAGTAAGTTCAAGTCTTTCATCTACCTGGAAAAAAGCTGGACACAATGCCTCAAATGTCATCATGCAATTGCTGACTAGAGGAGAATAAACACTTTTACTACTGTCTTGCTAAACCAATTGCCCGATTTGTCCATTTAAGACCTGTATCACAATATCAAAATATCCCAAGGTCTGGGTTTTTCTGGTCTTAAGATATAAAGTAAGGCGATACATGACACAAAATTGAAAAACAATATTTAATGCACTTATCTGTATTATATCAAAATTATATATGCTGAAAAGATTTTATCATATGTCAATGTAGCTATTTCTTTCCTTCAAAAATAGTCAAGTTACCAGCTATGCCAATGTGACCTAATTTAGGATGGATGATACTATTATTTTCCAATGAAAATATGGTCACCTTTCATATGGGGGGCAGAGGGGAAAAGGTTTTCCAAAGTTTAAATTGCACACAGTAAAGTCCAAATAATGCATTATATGTTTAGTGGAATGTAATGCAGACCTTTTCTCAGAAGTGATTCTGGTTAAGTAGTTCAAATGGTGCCAGGGTATTGACTAGATTAACCCCTGGATCCTATTTTTCTGAAACATATTGTATTAATTGTGCTATGTTAGTTAATATCTGTATACTTTTTGTATGCTTCTGTGTTCCTTGAATTCTTAGGGTTAATTACACATTTGAAAACACATTAAAAACAATTTTGGACAGAAGAATTTGTCTGGAAAAACTAAGTTTTCTAATAAAACTAGTCTTCATTTAGAAGAGAGTATGATATGTGACATGGCTTAATTTATCAAAATACTAAAGGACTGACAGTTTTAAAAAACATTTCCATGTTAAGTTCAGTCAGTATGGAAACAACAGGCAGAAAATTATCATTAGAGGCTTTTCAGAAGAAAAGTCTTACATGAATTTCTACTAGTAAAAAGGATGCCTTTAGTGAGACAGAAAAGCTCTTCAATAATAATTTGTGGGTATAACAAAGGTAAGAAATTATCATATCAGAACATATCATGTTACACTCAAATACATCTACTGCTTATGCTAGTATGCTGACAGCATTCCTATTTTGCATTAGTCTTTATAATTGATATAATGAAGGATTTATTAGTGTGTAAATGTTTCTTGTGTATTAAAATAACACTAAGATTAATATTCTCTGTGGTAAAGGTATAATAATAAGCAATACAAATAGGTGTAACGCTACCAAAACCAGTAAAGGTTGGGGTTTTTTTCCTGTAGAGAACTGATTTTCAATAATTTGTTATTATATGAAAGCAATCTTTCTTTTTGTTACTAAGCACAAAAAAGCTCATTTTAAGCTGATATTGGATTTGCATACATAATGAATATTATGCCTTCAATATATATTCAAAGGCTCCAGATTATTCAATTTAAACAAACTACAGTATTTTGGTTCACCACATAGCATCAATCAATTCCTGGGGTCAGTAAAACTATGCATGAACAGAATTACTCTATTTAGTCTAACAAAGTCCAAAAATAATTGTAAGGCTCTAAGTCTTTCTTATGACCTGAACAAACATCAATACTTCTGAAAAACTGAAATATATTGATTTAAATGGTTGCAGGGCTTATATTTTAATGTTTGATCTTGATGGAATTCAGAACTGTAGACAATTTTTAATCCTTAATCTCCCAGTCAAAATTAGCCTTTGTTTTCCATATTCCTCAGCCGTTTTTCAATTCTCTCTCAATCAGTAAAGTATGAATTATCCAAACATGGATATGAAATTCTTTTTAACATATGCGCACACAGCAGTAGGGAAACACTTAAGGTATCTAGGCCAGCTAACTCTCAGCTCCCAGTGTTGCAATTTAAGAACATTCACTTGCCTTTCACCCTACCCTCTGTTCAGTGTTTTTTAAATTCATCCCCTTCAAGACATCTGTTTTCCTTGAAAGAAAATATGAAATTACAGTGCTGCTAAAACACTGTCCTTCAGAAAGGTTGCTCCTAGAGTTCTCTACTTCAGGACTTCAGTACAAAAGGTTTTTTGGGTCAGCAGCAGTAGCAAGAGCCAGCTAAGTTCTATAACATATATTTAAGATCCAAACAAAAGGCTTATCTGGAACAGACAACTCCCTCATTCTTGCAGAGGCTCTGACTACCATGAACAAAAAAACATGCAATAATTTAACTGAAAATAAAGCAAAAGTATGCCAGAAGTAAATTAATGCTACAAAAGAATAAGCATCATAGCTTCACAATAAAACTATACCTACTAAATGGAAGAAGTTATTATACTTAGTCTTCTCCACAGTACGTCACACACGATAGGCTTTCTACATAAAATTTTAAAGACAACATTGGAGTAAAAGTCTATTTGTTACATTAAAAGGTAACTTTGGGAAGTGTCAGTCATGGTACACATCAGCCACAGCAAGAGGGTAAGACTGCTTGGTTGCTGTACGTTTTGTTTAGATTTAATGTAGAAATTTGTCTATCCTAGCAACCAAAAAATACCTAAAAATTAGTAGCTTTGTAACACATAATTGGAGAACCTAAACTATGTGAAAATGTAATATATAAGCACTAGGTTTTGTTCTATTGTTTAATATTTT